GTACGTATGTTGGACTTCTTTCACACCATACGTAGCCAACCATACTAATCGGAGGTGCAGTGTTGAGTCTATGGGCAGTGTTGAGTCTATGGGTAGTGTTGAGTCTATGGGCAGTGTTGAGTCTATGGGTAGTGTTGAGTCTATGGGCAGTGTTGAGTCTATGGGCAGTGTTGAGTCTATGGGCAGTGTTGAGTCTATGGGTAGTGTTGAGTCTATGGGCAGTGTTGAGTCTATGGGCAGTGTTGAGTCTATGGGCAGTGTTGAGTCTATGGGTAGTGTTGAGTCTATGGGTAGTGTTGAGTCTATGGGCAGTGTTGAGTCTATGGGCAGTGTTGAGTCTATGGGCAGTGTTGAGTCTATGGGCAGTGTTGAGTCTATGGGTAGTGTTAGTCTATGGGCAGTGTTGAGTCTATGGGTAGTGTTGAGTCTATGGGCAGTGTTGAGTCTATGGGCAGTGTTCAGTCTGTGGGCAGTGTTTAGTCTATGGGTAGTGTTGAGTCTATGGGCAGTGTTGAGTCTATGGGTAGTGTTAGTCTATGGGCAGTGTTGAGTCTATGGGTAGTGTTGAGTCTATGGGCAGTGTTGAGTCTATGGGCAGTGTTGAGTCTATGGGTAGTGTTAGTCTATGGGCAGTGTTGTGTCTATGGGTAGTGTTGAGTCTATGGGCAGTGTTGAGTCTATGGGTAGTGTTAGTCTATGGGCAGTGTTGAGGCTATGGGTAGTGTTGAGTCTATGGGCAGTGTTGAGTCTATGGGCAGTGTTGAGTCTGTGGGCAGTGTTGAGTCTATGGGCAGTGTTGAGTCTATGGCAGTGTTGAGTCTATGGGCAGTGTTGAGTCTATGGGCAGTGTTAGTCTATGGGCAGTGTTGAGTCTATGGGTAGTGTTGATTCTATGGGTAGTGTTGAGTCTATGGGCAGTGTTGAGTCTATGGGCAGTGTTGAGTCTATGGGCAGTGTTGAGTCTATGGGCAGTGTTGAGTCTATGGGTAGTGTTGAGTCTATGGGCAGTGTTGAGTCTATGGGCAGTGTTGAGTCTATGGGCAGTGTTGAGTCTATGGGCAGTGTTGTGTCTATGGGCAGTGTTGAGTCTGTGGGCAGTGTTGAGTCTATGGGTAGTGTTGAGTCTATAGGCAGTGTTGAGTCTATGGGCAGTGTTTAGTCTATGGGCAGTGTTGAGTCTATGGGTAGTGTTGAGTCTATGGGGCAGTGTTGAGTCTATGGGCAGTGTTGAGTCTGTGGGCAGTGTTGAGTCTGTGGGCAGTGTTGAGTCTGTGGACAGTGTTGAGTCTATGGGCAGTGTTGAGTCTATGGGCAGTGTTGAGTCTATGGGATGTTGAGTCTATGGGCCGTGTTGAGTCTATGTAGTGTTGAGTCTATGGGTAGTGTTAGTCTATGGGCTAGTGTTGAGTCTATGGGAGTGTTGAGTCTATGGGTAGTGTTGAGTCTATAGGGCAGTGTTGAGTCTATGGGCAGTGTTGAGTCTATGGGCAGTGTTGAGTCTATGGGCAGTGTTGAGTCTATGGGCAGTGTTGAGTCTATGGGCAGTGTTGAGTCTATGGGCAGTGTTGAGTCTATGGGTAGTGTTGAGTCTATGGGTCAGTGTTGAGTCTATGGGCAGTGTTGAGTCTATGGCAGTGGTTGAGTCTATGGGCAGTGTTGAGTCTATGGGTAGTGTTGAGTCTATGGGTCGTGTTGAGTCTATGGGCAGTGTTAGTCTATGGGCAGTGTTGAGTCTATGGGCATATGTTGAGTCTATGGCAGTGGTTAGCAGGTCTATGGGCATGTGGTGAGAGTCTATGGGTAGTGTTGAGTCCTATTGGGCAGTGTTGAGTCTATGGGCAGTGTTGAGTCTGTGGGCAGGTTGAGTCTGTGGGCATTGTTGAGTCTATGGGCAGTGTTAGTCTATGGGCAGTGTTGAGTCTATGGGTAGTGTTGAGTCTATGGGTAGTGTTGAGTCTATGGGCAGTGTTGAGTCTATGGGCAGTGTTGAGTCTATGGGCAGTGTTGAGTCTATGCGTAGTGTTGAGTCTATGGGCAGTGTTGAGTCTATGGGCAGTGTTGAGTCTATGGGCAGTGTTGAGTCTATGGTAGTGTTAAGTCTATAGGCAGTGTTGAGTCTATGGGCAGTGTTGAGTCTATGGGCAGTGTTGAGTCTATGGACAGTGTTGAGTCTATGGGTAGTGTTAGTCTATGGGTAGTGTTAGTCTATGGGTAGTGTTAGTCTATGGGCAGTGTTGAGTCTATGGGCAGTGTTGAGTCTATGGGTAGTGTTGAGTCTATGGGCAGTGTTGAGTCTATGGGCAGTGTTGAGTCTATGGGCAGTGTTGAATCTATGGGCAGTGTTGAGTCTATGGGTAGTGTGTATGCGTGTTGAACTTCTTTCACACCCTACGCAGCCAACCGTAACAGCCAAGCCCTCAAGCTGGTCTTGGCTGTCATGGTGCCTCTTTAAGACTACAGCCCTCATGCTGGGCTTGGCTGTTGTGATGCCTCTTTAAGACTACAACCCTCAGGCTGGGCTTGGCTGTTGTGATGCCTCTTTAAGACTACAACCCTCAAGCTGGCTTGGCTGTTGTGATGCCTCTTTAAGACTACAGCCCTCAAGCTGGGCTTGGCTGTTATGATGCATATTTAAGACTACAGCCCTCAGGCTGGGCTTGGCTGTTGTGATGCCTCTTTAAGACTACAGCCCTCAGGCTGGGCTTGGCTGTTGTGATGCCTCTTTAAGACTACAACCCTCAGGCTGGGCTTGACTGTTGTGATGCCTCTTTAAGACTACAGCCCTCAGGCTGGGCTTGGCTGTTGTGATGCCTCTTTAAGACTACAGCCCTCAAGCTGGGCTTGGCTGTTATTATGCATCTTTAAGACTACAGCCCTCAAGCTGGGCTTGGCTGTTATGATGCATCTTTAAGACTACAGCCCTCAGGCTGGGCTTGACTGTTATGATGCCTCTTTAAGACTACAACCCTCAGGCTGGGCTTGGTTGTTGTGATGCCTCTTTAAGACTACAGCCCTCAGGCTGGGCTTGGCTGTTGTGATGCCTTTTTAAGACTACAGCCCTCAGGCTGGGATTAGCTGTTGTGATGCCTCTTTAAGACTACAGCCCTCAGGCTGGGATTGGCTGTTGTGATGCCTCTTTAAGACTACAGCCCTCAGGCTGGGCTTGACTGTTATGATGCCTCTTTAAGACTACAACCCTCAGGCTGGGCTTGGTTGTTGTGATGCCTCTTTAAGACTACAGCCCTCAGGCTGGGCTTGGCTGTTGTGATGCCTCTTTAAGACTACAGCCCTCAGGCTGGGATTGGTTGTTGTGATGCCTCTTTAAGACTACAGCCCTCAGGCTGGGATTGGCTGTTGTGATGCCTCTTTAAGACTACAGCCCTCAGGCTGGGATTGGCTGTTGTGATGCCTCTTTAAGACTACAGCCCTCAGGCTGGGATTGGCTGTTGTGATGCCTCTTTAAGACTACAGCCCTCAGGCTGGGATTGGCTGTTGTGATGCCTCTTTAAGACTACAGCCCTCAGGCTGGGATTGGCTATTGTGATGCCTCTTTAAGACTACAGCCCTCAGGCTGGGATTGGCTGTTGTGATGCCTCTTTAAGACTACAGCCCTCAGGCTGGGCTTGACTGTTATGATGCCTCTTTAAGACTACAACCCTCAGGCTGGGCTTGGTTGTTGTGATGCCTCTTTAAGACTACAGCCCTCAGGCTGGGCTTGGCTGTTGTGATGCCTCTTTAAGACTACAGCCCTCAGGCTGGGATTGGCTGTTGTGATGCCTCTTTAAGACTACAGCCCTCAGGCTGGGATTGGCTGTTGTGATGCCTCTTTAAGACTACAGCCCTCAGGCTGGGCTTGACTGTTATGATGCCTCTTTAAGACTACAACCCTCAGGCTGGGCTTGGTTGTTGTGATGCCTCTTTAAGACTACAGCCCTCAGGCTGGGATTGGTTGTTGTGATGCCTCTTTAAGACTACAGCCCTCAGGCTGGGATTGGCTGTTGTGATGCCTCTTTAAGACTACAGCCCTCAGGCTGGGATTGGCTGTTGTGATGCCTCTTTAAGACTACAGCCCTCAGGCTGGGATTGGCTGTTGTGATGCCTCTTTAAGACTACAGCCCTCAGGCTGGGATTGGCTGTTGTGATGCCTCTTTAAGACTACAGCCCTCAGGCTGGGATTGGCTGTTGTGATGCCTCTTTAAGACTACAGCCCTCAGGCTGGGATTGGCTGTTGTGATGCCTCTTTAAGACTACAGCCCTCAGGCTGGGATTGGCTGTTGTGATGCCTCTTTAAGACTACAGCCCTCAGGCTGGGCTTGACTGTTATGATGCCTCTTTAAGACTACAACCCTCAGGCTGGGCTTGGTTGTTGTGATGCCTCTTTAAGACTACAGCCCTCAGGCTGGGCTTGGCTGTTGTGATGCCTCTTTAAGACTACAGCCCTCAGGCTGGGATTGGCTGTTGTGATGCCTCTTTAAGACTACAGCCCTCAGGCTGGGATTGGCTGTTGTGATGCCTCTTTAAGACTACAGCCCTCAGGCTGGGATTGGCTGTTGTGATGCCTCTTTAAGACTACAGCCCTCAGGCTGGGATTGGCTGTTGTGATGCCTTTTTAAGACTACAACCCTTAGGCTGGGCTTGGTCGTTGTGATGCCTCTTTAAGACTACAACCCTCAGGCTGGGATTGGCTGTTGTGATGCCTCTTTAAGACTACAACGTTCGAACTGGGTTTGGCTGTTGCGATGCCTCTTTAAGACTGCAACATTCGAGCCGGGCTTGGCAAGATCAGGGGGTGACAACCGATGACGCGATTCTTGACGCATTCGGCCCCGGTGACCCGCGGCCGAATCGGTTGCTCCACCTCGGGTCGCGCGGGACGTTGATTCCATTCCAACCCCTCCCCCTCCTCCTCGGAGCTTCCGACAAAACACCGGGCACGGCCCGTTACGAACCCGGGCTCCGTGGTTCCCCGCCCGCCCGCCCCCCCGCCCGCCTTGCCCTCTCTAGGAGAACGGCTCTCGCGCTAAGAGAGATGCGAGCGCGACGTGGATGAGTGTGAGGCCCCACGGACTCGCAGACATCGTGGTGACCCCCGCCGAGCTGAACGATCCTCCCAGCTTCATCCCTGGAGGGGGGAGGGGTGGGGGGGGGGAGATACAAACGCGGTCGTGAAGACCGAGGAGGCAATCGGAACGTTCGTGGGCTGATCGGGGAGGTTAGCGGTGGGATGTGTCGATTTGTTCACCGTGAAATTCACGAGTTGGTTTCTCCGTCCGCCCGTGTTGAAGACTACTACTACCACCACCGCACTGTAGGTAAAAACACACTCACCCACTCACTCACCTATCCACTCACTCACCTACCCACTCACTCACCTACCCACTCACTCACTCACCTACCCACTCACCCCTCCCCCACGCACCCATCCACGCACCAACCAACCCACTCACCCACTTACTCGCCCGCTCATGCGCTGGCCACTACACTACCCCTTCTCACGGTCACACACGCACACACAACAACAACCGCCATACTCCATCTCTTCTCTAGCCCTTGCCGCGCCCGTTTAGACCCCTCGATCCGGCCGAACAAAAGCTGTTTAGGCATGCGGTAGCTGGGCATGCGGGCTACATGACCCAGCAAACGCAGCCTTGCCTGCCGGAGGAGCTCACCGATGGGACTTTGCCCAGATCTTTCAAGGATTTGTGAGCTCCTCACACAATCCAGCCTGGTTAAACCCAGGATGGATCGTAGGCAGGCCAGCCTAAATGTTTCCAACCGGCGAAGATGCTCCATTAGGGGGGTCCACATTTCGCAAGCGTAGAGAAGGGAGGGAATGACCGTGGCCGAGAAGACCTGAAGCTTCGTGCGGAGTTACAGACCAGGTAGCTTCCACACAGCGTTACGCAACCGATGAAAAGATATTGCCGCTCGACTGATTCGGAGTGAGACCTCTGCTGATAAACTGGAGCCGGTCATAAGCACACTGCCCAGGTATGGGAAACTCTCCACTCTCTCCACAACTGCCCCATCACCGATTGGGAGTTGTGGGGGTGGAGTGTCCGATGGTACAAAATACCCAGGCAGGTGCTTAGTTTTGGTGGGGCTGATGGTAAGGCCCCACCTCTTAGTGGCACGCTCCAGTCTCAGCAGCAGCGTCTCCAACTCCTCTTCTGAATGAGCAGCTATTACCAAATCATCGGCATACATAACGTGGTTGACCAATAGGGAGCCATCCCTTGATCGCGCCCGGGCGTCGATCAGCCTCCCATTATATCTGTACCAAATGGAAATTCCCCCGGTACAGCTATTGAAGGCTTCACGAACTACGCAGTCTAAATAGATGTTAAATAATGTGGGAGCCAGAGGACATCCCTGTCGCACCCCAAGGTGTACAGGGAAAGGCTCCGACTCCCGGCCACGTAGTTTTACCCGGGCCCGCTCACCATCATGAAGGTCCTTAATGATCGTGAGCAGAGGGTCAGGGACTCCGAAAGCACGAAGAACAACCCAGAGCCCAAGCCTACTGATGGTATCATAGGCCTTGACCAGGTAAATAAAGCAGAGATGTAGGTCTTGTTGGAATTCCCTACACCCCTGCTGTAGCAGACGGACAGAAAATATGGCATCTGTACAAGGACCGCCCTTTCCTGAAACCGCATTGGGGTTCCGCAAGCCTCTCCTCAGCGTGCCTAGCAAGGCGATGTTGAATAATCCTTGCCAGGACCTTTCCCGGCACACTGAGGAGTGAGATGCCCCTGTAGTTGTTACAGTCTGTGCGGTCCCCCTTCTTAAAGAGGGGGACCACCAGGGCACCCTTCCAATCCTGCGGTACCCGTCCAGTGGTCCAGACTGTTGTTATGATGTCATGTAGGGCAGTCTGTGCACAAACGCACACACGCACGCACACACGCACGCATGCACACGCACGCACGCACACACACACACACGCACACATGCACACACACGCACACACCCACACACACGCACGCACACACGCACGCATGCACACGCACGCACACACACACACACGCACACATGCACACACACGCACACACCCACACACACGCACGCACACACGCACACGCACGCACGCGCACGCACGCACGCACACATACACATACGCACATACACGCACACACCCACACGCACACACACACACGCACCGGGCGGCTATGCCCGCGCCTACCGGAGCTCGCCCTGTGCGGCACCCGCACTTGCGTGCTGGCACTCCCCTCGCCCTCGGCGCTGCAGGCTCGCACCTCCACCACGAGCGCCGTGCCACCACCACCACCACCGCCACCACCACCACCACCGCCACGACCCCCGACCGGCAAGGGGATCTCCACCCGCGTCTCGTTGGTGAGCAGCTCGCGGGCGCCCGCCTGTCCCAGCGAGCGGTATCGAACCTGTGAGCAGGCGGTGGACACGGGACACGTCACCCCCACCGCCCTACCTCGCCACCCTGCCTTCCCTGCTACGTCCCTGCTGGAAGCTGCAGAAGCTCCCAATCTTCGCTCGCTCTCTCGGCCTGTTCCTCGTCCTCCCTCCTCCTTGTGGTCAGTCACGTTCACGAGGTCGCGGGTTCGATGCCGAACCACCCCCCCCCCCCCTTGACGCCTGCACATTCGGAGTGTGCATCGCAGCGTGCACCTCGAGATTCATCCGCACCGTGCGCTGCCAATGGCGCTGATGGGAGGTGCGGGAATGGCGGGGGGGGGGTGGAGGGGGGGGGCAAGGTGAGGTGACCCGGCCCCACCTTGTGCCCCGGGGGGTGGAGGGGGGGGTGGAGGGGGGGGGGTGGAGGGGGGGGCAAGGTGACCCGGCCCCCACCTTGTAGCCGGTGACGGCGGACTCGTTGTCGAGAGGGGCGACGTGCTCCCAGCTGAGGGTCACGTGCACGCCGTCCGTCCGCCACTGGGTGATTCTGGGCGGCTTGCTCGGAGCTGCGACGGGCGAACCGGGGGGGAGTGGGGGGGAAGTGGGGGGGTTATGGGGGGTGGGGGGGGGGCTACGCCGAGACCTCTCACTCGGGTCGCCTTCGCCGCCGTCGGCTGAACGAGGACGAGAATTCTCGCGTCTGTACGGCACGGAGTCGGTTAACTGTGTGGGTGAGTGGGAGGGTGAGTGGGTGGGTGAGTGGGTGGGTGAGTGGGTGAGTGGGAGGGTGAGTGGGTGGGTGAGTGGGTGGGTGAGTGGGTGAGTGGGAGGGTGAGTGGGTGGGTGAGTGGATGAGTGGGAGGGTGAGTGGGTGGGTGAGTGGGTGAGTGGGAGGGTGAGTGGGTGGGTGAGTGGGTGAGTGGGAGGGTGAGTGGGAGGGTGAGTGGGTGGGTGAGTGGGTGAGTGGGAGGGTGAGTGGGTGGGTGAGTGGGTGAGTGGGAGGGTGAGTGGTAGGTGAGTGGGTGAGTGGGTGAGTGAGTGGGAGGGTGAGTGGGTGGGTGAGTGGGAGGGTGGGTGGGTGAGTGGGAGGGTGAGTGGGTGGGTGAGTGGGAGGGTGAGTGGGTGGGTGAGTGGGTGGGTGAATGGGTGAGTGGGTGGGTGAGTGGGTGGGTGAGTGGGTAGGTGAGTGGGTGGTGAGTGGGAGGGTGAGTGGGTGGGTGGGTGGGTGAGTGGGTGAGTGGGTGGATGGGTGGGTGAGTGGGAGGGTGGGTGAGTGGGTGGGTGGGTGAGTGGGTGGGTGGGTGAGTGGGTGGGTGGGTGAATGGGTGAGTGGGTGGGTGAGTGGGAGGGTGGGTGAGTGGGTGGGTGGGTGAGTGGGAGGATGGGTGGGTGAGTGAGTGAGTGGGTGGGTGGGTGGGTGAGTGAGTGGGAGGGTGGGTGAGTGGGAGGGTGGGTGAGTGGGAGGGTGAGTGGGTGAGTGGGTGAGTGGGAGGGTGGGTGAGTGGAGGGTGAGTGGGTGGGTGAGTGGGTGGGTGAGTGGGTGGGAGGGTGAGTGAGTGGGAGGGTGAGTGAGTGGGAGGGTGGGTGAGTGGGAGGGTGGGTGAGTGGGAGGGTGAGTGGGTGGGTGAGTGGGTGGGTGAGTGAGTGGGTTGGTGGGTGAGTGGGAGGGTGAGTGGGTGAGTGAGTGAGTGGGAGGGTGGGTGGGTGAGTGGGTGAGTGGGAGGGTGAGTGAGTGGGAGGGTGGGTGAGTGGGAGGGTGAGTGGGTGAGTGGGTGGGTGAGTGGGTGGGTGAGTGAGTGAGTGGGTGGGTGAGTGGGAGGGTGAGTGGGTGGGTGGGTGAGTGGGAGGGTGGGTGAGTGGGAGGGTGGGTGGGTGAGTGGGTGAGGAGGGTGGGTGAGTGGGTGAGGAGGGTGGTGAGTGGGTGAGGAGGGTGGGTGAGTGGGTGAGGAGGGTGGGTGAGTGGGTGGGTGAATGGGTGGGTGGGTGGGTGAATGGGTGGGTGGGTGGGTGGGTGAGCGGGTGAGTGAGTGGGTGAGTTGGTGGGTGAGTGATTGGGTAGGTGAGTAATTGGGTGGATGAGTGATTGGGAGGGTGGGTGAGTAAGTGAAAAGGGGTCGTCTCATGGATAGATTCGTCCGCACCGCAGGAACCTTGAGTTCCCACCACTGGCTCTGCAGGCGCCTGTAAACGCTCACGTGACCAGGCATCCACGCCGACGCGAGGTGTAACACAGTGAGTCACGTGGTGTAACCCACGTGGTGTAACACAGTGAGTCACGTGGTGTAACGCACGTGGTGTAACACAGTGAGTCACGTGATGTAACGCACGTGGTGTAACACATTGAGTCACGTGGTGTAACGCACGTGGTGTAACACGGTGAGTCGCGTGGTCTAACCCACGTGGTGTAACACGGTGAGTCGCGTGGTGTAACCCACGTGCTTTCCTAGTTGTGACCAGGCTCGCCGCGCCGGAAGGCCCCGTCCCGGCGCTGTTGAAGGCCTGGACCGTCACCTCGTACTCCGTGTGCTCGCGAAGGCCCAGCAGGCGGACGTGGGCCTTGGCACCGCCCGGCGTCCTCAGCCGGGCTATGGCGCCCTCCGGCGCGTCCACGCTTCGCCGGTACGCCACCTGACGATGGTGGGGCGACAGGAGGTACGGGGTGGGACGAAGGTGACGCGAGATCGTCCAGGAACTTCCACCGTCAATCAGAGGTCGCAAACGGGTTTTGATTCCTTACCCGTACCCGTACCCGGCTGCACCAGGGTCGCAAATGGTTACCCGTACCCGTACCCGGCCGGGTACGGGTACTCGTTCCCTACCCGTACCCTACCCGAAATGAGTGACAAACGGTGACTCACCAGTGACTCACGGCCTACCCGTACCCAGCCGCACCAGGGTCGAAAACGGGTACCCGTACCCGGCCGTACCCGTACCCTACCCGTACCCGGCCGGGTACGGGTAGGGTATGGGTATCGGGTACCCGATTGCGACCTCTGGGATGAAGCCATGTTGCAGGCACGGGTGGGTTGATTCTAGGAACTTGAATTGTGAGAAGAGACAAGACGTTGGGAAATGAGTGACAAACGGTGACTCACCAGTGACTCACGGCCTACCTGTACCCGTACCCGGCCGCACCAGGGTCGCAAACGGGTACCCGTACCCGGGTACGGGTAGCCGGGTATCGGGTAGGGTACGGGTATCGGGTACCCGGTTGCGACCTCTGCCGTCAATACGCGAACTCCGGCCAGCGGCTGTTGGCCACTCGCGGGCCAAACGGCGGTCGCCGCATCGTCGCGGTGACCGCCGTTGCTGCTCCTGTGGCCGTCTGGAACGCTTCTTCCTTCCGATTTGAGAAAGCCACTGGGAGCTACGGTGCACTTTTACATCATCGTCGTTTAGATTGACGAGTGAGGGTGGGTGGACGAGTGGAGGTGGGTGGACGTGTGAGGGTGGGTGGACGAGTGGAGGTGGGTGGACGAGTGTGGGTGGGTGGACGAGTCGGGGTGGGTGGACGAGTGAGGGTGGGTGGACGAGTGGGGTGGGTGGACGAGAGGTGGTGGAGTGAGGGTGGGTGGACGAGTGTGGGTGGGTGGACGAGTGGGGGTGGGTGGACGAGTGAGGGTGGGTGGACGAGTGGAGGTTGGTGGACGTGTGAGGGTGGGTGGATGAGTGGAGGTGGGTGGACGAGTGTGGGTGGGTGGACGAGTGGAGGTTGGTGGACGAGTGAGGGTGGGTGGACGAGTGGAGGTTGGTGGACGTGTGAGGGTGGGTGGACGAGTGGAGGTGGGTGGACGAGTGTGGGTGGGTGGACGAGTGGAGGTTGGTGGACGAGTGAGGGTGGGTGGACGAGTGAAGGTTGGTGGACGTGTGAGGGTGGGTGGACGAGTGGAGGTGGGTGGACGAGTGTGGGTGGGTGGACGAGTGGGGGTGGGTGGACGAGTGGGGTGGGTGGACGAGTGAGGTTAGTGGACGAGTGGGGTGGGTGGACGAGTGAGGGTTGGTGGACGAGTGGGATGGGTGGACGAGTGAGGGTTGGTGGACGAGTGGAGGTGGGTGGACGAGTGAGGGTTGGTGGACGAGTCGGGTGGGTGGACGAGTGAGGGTTGGTGGACGAATCGGGGTGGGTGGACGAGTGGGGTGGGTGGACGAGTGAGGGTTGGTGGACGAGTCGGGGTGGGTGGACCTGTGAGGGTGGGTGGACGAGTCAGGGTTGGTGGACGAGTGGGGTGGGTGGACGAGTAGGGGTGGGTGGACGAGTGGGGGTGGGTGGACGAGTGGAGGTGGGTGGACATGTGAGGGTGGGTGCTCGAGTGGGGGTGGGTGGACGAGTGAGAGTAGGTGGACACGTGAAGGTAGGTGGTCGAGCATGAGGGTAGGTGGACGATCGTGAGTAGGTGGACGTGCCGAGACCTCATAGCCGTGGATGCGCTGTTCGCTGATCAGGGCGGCTGGAAGCGGTTGCCAGGCGATGTCCACCTCCGATGACGACAGGGCCCTCGCGCGCACGCCCACAGGTGCCACGATGGGTGCTGTCGTGAATAAATACAATCGACAACGCAAATGTTAATCATAATAAAATCAACGAGACCATTTCCACAATCGATCTGTGGGGGTTAAAATTTTTTTTTTTGCCGGCGTCAAGATGATTCAAACAGAGGAGGCTTTCATCGTAAAAGGTTGTTTTTATGTTGATAATACAGTAAAACCTTGGATTGCGAGTAACTTGGTCTGCGAGTGTTTTGCAAGACGAGCAAAACATTTAAGTACATTTTAATTTGATAAACGAGCGAGGTCTTGCAATACGAGTAGTGGGTGTATACGCTTTGTCTGCCGAGCGTCACGTGATCACAACTGAGACACGAGTGCTTTGATATACGAGTGCTTTGGATTACAAACACGTTTACGGAACGAATTATGCTCGCAATGCAAAGTTTTACTGTAGAGGTTTTTAAATCCTTTATATTAAGTTAGCTTGCTTGCTTAGGACCGTGCAGATCTTTCGGTCGTTTTTAACCCACTTCCCGTGATCCAATCGAGCTGACATTTTCCACACAGACTCGTTGTGCGTAACAATTAATGTTCGTTAAAAAAAATTTCCAAAATGTTACATTTTTTAGGACTAAAATATTATATTTAATTACCAATTGCTTAATGGTGCAATGCAATCATCTGACCCATAGGTGACAGCCATCTCAATCCAGAGGACGAGAGGACTCTAGCCGCCACACATATAAAGGATTTATAGTGAAAAACTTTGTTTTTACTGGTTATACTTATATTTGGTTTAGATCGTGATCTATTATTGGGCGATATTGTGTTCAATGTTTTGTTGGTGTTGTTTCAGGTGATTCTCTACCTCCGTTAGTTCTCGTCAGCCCCCCCCCCGATCACCCACCGCTAAACTCCTCACCCCGACACTCACCACGTCGCCCCCTACTCATCCCCCCCCAGCCACCACCGCTAAGGGGCCGTCCATAAATGACGTCACGCGATTTTGGAGGATTTTTTACCCCCCCCCCCCCCCCCTTCGTCACACGGCGTCACAAAAAGTCAGCCCCCCCCACCCCTTCTCATATGACGTCACAAAGTTCTGCCCCCCCCCCCCCAAATAATATAAAACATGCTTCAAATCGCGTTAAACTATTGTCATTGTAGTGCGTATTTAATGTGGCGCTGCACTCTGATGTTGTAGGAGAAAACGTTTATTAAAAAGTCGATTTAATTAAGTAGAACGTGTTGTCTATATGTATTTAAAGTTGCGCATTTTTATGTGACGTCACGTTTCTCAACCCCCCCCCCCCAGGTGCGTGACGTCATCTACGGACGGCCCCCCTAACTCCTCACCCTTCCACTCAAGTTCAAGTGCATGTATTAGGTATAGCCCTGTGAGCCATTCGGCTCTTGAATCGGGTGCAACCGCAACAAACAAAAAACAAAAACATGAACAAAAAAGACATCTTCAAATGAATATGTGACTAAGTGCAAACAGAAAATCCAAGAAAAGACAGCAAAATATTGCAGAAAAAATCACCGTACACCAACGCTGTGTGCAAAAATCCCAGTGGGATGCAAGTCAAACAACAACAACAACCACAAGACAACTTAGATTAAGGCCATCAGTCTTACTCTGTACTACAACAAACAAACATGGCCAAACCAATACACTTTTCGAAATCACCAAAATAAAGCCATAAAAGCAATGAAACAGCAGTGATCATAGGAACTAGGAACTGTGACGGAATAAACGACAAACAACATGTACTACCAAAACCCTGCAGCCATACCCCCCACCTCCACCTCCCCCGTCACCTCTCTCGGCCGAGTGCACCAGCGTGGCGTTGCCGAATGGGCCCTCGCCGGCGCCGTTGAAGGCCCGGATCCGCACGAGGAAGGCCGTGAAGGGCCGCGCTGCGTCACCGTCGGAGCGGCGGTGCGAGTAGCGCGACGCGTTCCACGCGGGGGACCGTCACGTGGCGCCAGAGGGTCGCGGTGGCGTTCTCACGGAACGCAACAACGTAGCCCAGGCTGGGCCCGAAGTGCAGGCGGCGCTCCACGGGCTGGGTGGGGGAGTGGGGGGGGTTAGTAGGGGGTTAGTAGGGGAGGGAGTTAGTAGGGGAGGGGATTAGTAGGGTAGGGGGTGAGTAGGGTAGGAAATTAGTAGGGTAGGGGATTAATAGGGGAGGAGGTCAGTAGGGGATGGGGTGAGTAGGGTAGGGGGTTAGTAGGGTATTAGGGTAGGGGATTAATAGGGGAGTAGGTTAGTAGGGTAGGAGGTTAGTAGGGGAGGAAGTTAGTAGGGTTAGTAGGGTAGGGGGGTTAGTAGGGTAGGGGGTTAGTAGGGTAGGGGGTTAGTAGGGTAGGGGTTTAGTAGGGTAGGGGGTTAGTAGGGTAGGGGTTTAGTAGGGGAGGGGGTTAGTAGGGTAGGAAGTTAGTAGGGTTAGTAGGGTAGGGGGTTAGTAGGGTAGGGGGTTAGTAGGGTAGGGGTTTAGTAGGGTAGGGGGTTAGTAGGGGAGGGGTTAGTAGGGTAGGAAGTTAGTAGGGTTAGTAGGGTAGGGGATAATAAAGGAGTAGGTTATTAGGGTATGGGATTCATAGGGGAGGAAATTAGTAGGGAAGGGGGTTAGTAGGGTAGGAAGTTAGTAGGGTAGGGGGTTAGTAGGGTAGGAAGTTAGTAGGGTAGGGGATTAATAGGGGAGTAGGTTAGTAGGATAGGAGGTTAGTAGGGGAGGAAGTTTGTAGGGTAGGGGGTTAGTAGGATAGGAGGTTAGTAGGGGAGAAAGTTAGTAGGGGAGGAGGTTAGTAGGGGAGGGGGTTAGTAGGGGAGGGGGTTAGTAGGGTAGGGGATTAATAGGGTAGTAGGTTAGTAGTATAGGAGGTTAGTAGGGGAGAAAGTTAGTAGGGGAGGAGGTTAGTAGGGGAGGGGGTTAGTAGGGGAGGGGGTTAGTAGGATAGGGGATTAATAGGGGAAGAGATTCGTAGAAGGGACACAATTGACGGCGGTCACCTTCCAGGTGATGACGAGTTCCGGATGACTTCCTCCTCCCCCAGACAGCCCCTCGGGGATGACCACGGGAGCTGTAGAGAGACGGGGGGGGGTGGGGGGGGGGGTGGGGGGGTGGGGGGGGTGGAGGTCGTCAGCGTCTCGGTTCGGCTGAGATTTGTTTCACAACGAGATGGAAACCCTCCCGGCGAGAGCCAGATTCCAGACGGTGATGTGTGGCCTGGTCTTCCGCGCTAGCTAGTACGTCTTGGAAGAGGTTGGGAGTTACACCCACGCACGCTTTACCCCACCACCACCACCACCACGTGGCCCTCACCGATCATCGGCTAAACCATGGTGAACCCACCAGCGGATGGAGTCGAACCGGTGCCTTCTGGATGACGAGTCCAGCGCGCTGCTGACCGTTACTTCATAGCGGCCGAATCTTAACCCTTTCCCATTCCGATGACGTGCATGTGCACGTGGGTTCCCAGAGGCTTTCTGATATTGGACAGAAGAGCGTTCCAGACGGACGCAGATGCAGCGCGTCTCGAAGCGCCCTGGCAGTCGCAAGTGATACCTCAACGAAGGGGCTCTTCACCATTACGTGGACATTCATAGTAGCAGCCAAATACTCAAAACAATCTCGCCTCCAAACAAGAGCCAACAGTAAATATAGAATTGAAGCTTTCGTGACTGCAGATGTCGCTCTGTGTGTGTGCCCTCGCTATGTGTTTTACCCCAATTCCACCTGGTGATGAGCGCTTGTGTTGCGTTCGAAACGTCGTGATTTATTTTAATCTAATTTTATTTTTCTTCTTGGTTCTTTCGGTAAAGTCACGTAGAAGGGAAGTAATAAAATAATAAAAATGAAACATAATACAACAATTCTCAGTGACAATTCTCAGTGAGAATTGTTTTATGTTTTATTTTTATTATTTTATTACTTCCCTTCTACGTGACTTTACCGAAAGAACCAAGAAGATGAATCCCTGCAGTCACGAAAGCTTTAAATCGAAATTTAATTTTATTTTATTTATATTTTATTTCCACATACGTGACTTTACCGAAAAAAACAATGAGTAAGAGCCAACAGCTCAGTATGGTTTTAAAACATATATATATTAAACCTAGCTCACAAAAAACTAAAATAGTGTAACAATAACCTCTGTGTGTGTACGTTTGAAGATGGGGGAGCGATTGTGTAGCGGTTAGCGCGCTGCACTGCAACCCGGCGAGCCTAGTTCAATTCCAACTCACGGACAGCACCAACACTGGTGACGATTATCTGAAACAGTCCTGGGCCTCTCCTAGGTCGACTCAACCTCAAATGAGTACCTGGTGCGGTGCGTAAACATCGCCACGGGGGAGACAAAGGCGGCCGGGTGCGGTGCTGGCCACCCACCCCCTCGTGTGCCGTGCCGGCCTTCATAGGTGCTACTCCGCTAGCAGCACTTGCCCCTACAGTCTGTCAAGTCTATAGGGGGATCTTGTCTGTTTCCATTTATATTTGTATTATTTATTGTTTCCCTTCTACGTGACGCAAGCAGCCGTCCTCAGGTGAAGAACAGGTCTGTCGGAAAGACAGCGTCTGAATGAAAACCACCAGGCTTGGCAGCGTATATTTAAGCTGGGTTGGAGGGGGCTGAAACGTCGTGAGAATTATTTTATTATGTTTTTTTAAATTATTTTATTGTTTCCCTTCTACGTGACTTTACCGAAAGAACTAAGAACATGAATCCCTGCAGTCACGAAAGCTTTAAATCAAAAGTGTTCTATCTCAAGAGAATCTTCAAACGGGACGTTTTGTCTCAAGGAACTGTCAAAATGAGAGGTTCTATCCCAAGTCAGTGTCACGTCTCAAGGAACTCTTCGAACGAGACGTTTGGCCTCAGACGTTCCGTGTCAAAACAAAGGCGGTGCCCTAGAGCGAGCGATGGACGTGACTGGGGCGGCGGCAGTGGCGGCGATGGTGGTGGCGGTGGCGGTGGTGGGACGGGGGAGGGAGGGGGGGGGAGCAACCGGTGGGGAGGGTGTGGAGGAACCCCGAGGAGGCGCTGGGCGCGCCGTCCCCGTGTGCGTTGCTGGAGACCACGCGGAACTCCGCCTCCGTCCAAGGGGTCAGCCCCGTGACCCGGGCACCGTTCCTGTCGGCCGCGATGATCGCCGGCTCTGTGAATGTACAACAATCCCCCCATCAATTTGAAGCTTTCGTGACTGCAGGGATTCATCTTCTTGGTTCTTTCGGTAAAGTCACGTAGAATGGAAATGATAAAGTAATAAAAATAAAACATAATAAAATAATTCTCGCGACGTTTCGGCCTGAGTCTGAATTACTCTGTCTCCTCGACAGACCTGTTCTCCACCTGAGGACGGCTACTTGCGTTGTGGCCGAAACGTCGTGAGAATTATTTTATTATGTTTTATTTTTATTATTTTATTATTTCCATTCTACGTGACTTTACCGAAAGAACCAAGAAGATGAATCCCCCCATCCCCGCACGTGAGCACGACTGGACATGTTACGCAGCCATTGCCGGGCACGTGACAACATGCGAGTTGGTGGTGGTGGTGGTGATCCGTGAGAGCGAACCGGCTCGCCGCACCTCCCTCACCGGTCGTGGCGGTCGCCCAGCGGCCGCAGTGGCCGCAGCGGCTCTCCACCCTGTGGGCCGTCACGGGGCTGTAGTTGTCAAAGCCGGGGACCCAAGACAGGGAGACCGAGGTGGTGGTCACGTCTGTCGCCACCACGGACCGCGGGCGGGTCCGGAGGGCCTGATGAGACACGGGGGGAGGGCGGGGGGATGTCTCGCGTTCAACGTCCGGCAAACGTTCGACGTCTCATTCTCGAGTTTCAAGTCGATGTCCGGTGCGCGCGTGCGTGTACGCGAGGATTGGTGCGCCTGATCTTAGACACTATTAGCGTGGTTGGGCTACGTACGGTGTGAAAGAAGTTCAACATATATACATACTGCCCATAGACTCAACACTATCCATAGACTTAACACTGAGCATAGACTCAACACTGAGCATAGACTCAACACTACCCATAGACTCAACACTGCCCATAGACTCAACACTACCCATAGACTCAACACTGCCCATAGACTCAACCTACCCATAGACTCAACGCCCATAGACTCAACACTACCCATAGACTCATCACTGCCCATACTCAACACTACCCATAGACTCATCACTACCATAGACTCAACACTGCCCATAGACTCAACACTACCATAGACTCACACTGCCCATAGACTCACATACCATAGACTCACACTACCCATAGACTCATCACTGCCCATAGACTCAACACTACCCATAGACTCAACACTGCCCATAGACTCAACAACCATAGACTCAACTCACTACCCATAGACATCAATGCCCATAGACTCAACACTACCCATAGACTCAAAACTGCATAGACTCAACACTAACCATAGACTCAACACTACCATAGATCACATGCCCATAGACTCAACACTACCCATAGACTCAACACTGCCCATAGCTCAACACTGCCCAGAGAACCACTAACCATAGACTCAACACTGCCTAGACTCAACACTGCCATAGACTCAACCTGCCCATAGACTCAACACTGCCCATAGATCAACATACCCATGATCAACATACCCATAGACAACACTACCCCATAGACTCAACACTGCCCATAGATTTCAACACTGCCCATAGACTCAACACTGCCTATAGACTCAACACTACCCATAGATTCAACACTACCCATAGACTCAACACTCCCCATAGACTAACACTGCCCATAGACTCAACACTGCCCATAGACTCAACGCTGCCCATAGACTCAACGCTGCCCATAGACTCAACACTGCCCATAGACTCAACACTACCCATAGATTCAACACTACCCATAGACTAACACTACCCACAGACTCAACACTGCCCATAGATTCAACACTGCCCATAGACTCAACACTACCCATAGACTCAACACTGCCCATAGACTCAACACTGCCCATAGACCCAACACTGCCCATAGACTAACACTACCCATAGACTCAACACTGCCCATAGACTCAACACTGCCCATAGACTCAACACTGCCCATAGACTCAACACTGCCCATAGACTCAACACTACCCATAATTCAACACTACCCCATAGACTAACACTACCCACAGACTCAACACTGCCCATAGATTCAACACTGCCCATAGACTCAACACTGCCTATAGACTCAACACTACCCATAGATTCAACACTACCCATAGACTCAACACTCCCCATAGACTAACACTGCCCATAGACTAACACTACCCATAGACTCAACACTCCCCATATACTCAACACTACCCATAGACTCATCACTGCCCATAGACTCAACACTACCCATAGACTCATCACTACCCATAGACTCAACACTGCCCATAGACTCAACACTACCCATAGACTCATCACTGCCCATAGACTCAACACTACCCATAGACTCATCACTACCCATAGACTCATCACTGCCCATAGACTCAACACTACCCATAGACTCAACACTGCCCATAGACTCAACACTAACCATAGACTCAACACTACCCATAGACTCATCACTGCCCATAGACTCAACACTACCCATAGACTCATCACTACCCATAGACTCATCACTGCCCACAGACTCAACACTACCCATAGACTCAACACTGCCCATAGACTCAACACTAACCATAGACTCAACACTACCCATAGACTCATCACTGCCCATAGACTCAACACTACCCATAGACTCAACACTGCCCATAGACTCAACACTAACCATAGACTCAACACTACCCATAGACTCAACACTGCCCATAGACTCAACACTACCCATAGACTCAACACTGCCCATAGGCTCAACACTGCCCATAGACTAACACTACCCATAGACTCAACACTGCCCATAGACTCAACACTGCCCATAGACTCAACGCTGCCCATAGACTCAACACTGCCCCATAGACTCAACACTACCCATAGATTCAACACTACCCATAGACTAACACTACCCACAGACTCAACACTGCCATAGATTCAACACTGCCCATAGACTCAACACTGCCTATAGACTCAACACTACCCATAGATTCACACTACCCATAGACTCAACACTCCCCATAGACTAACACTGCCCATAGACTCAACACTGCCCATAGACTCAACGCTGCCCATAGACTCAACGCTGCCCATAGACTCAACACTGCCCATAGACTCAACACTACCCATAGATTCAACACTACCCATAGACTAACACTACCCACAGACTCAACACTGCCCATAGATTCAACACTGCCCATAGACTCAACACTACCCATAGACTCAACACTGCCCATAGACTCAACACTGCCCATAGACCCAACACTGCCCATAGACTAACACTACCCATAGACTCAACACTGCCCATAGACTCAACACTGCCCATAGACTCAACACTGCCCATAGACTCAACACTGCCCATAGACTCAACACTACCCATAGATTCAACACTACCCATAGACTAACACTACCCACAGACTCAACACTGCCCATAGATTCAACACTGCCCATAGACTCAACACTGCCTATAGACTCAACACTACCCATAGATTCAACACTACCCATAGACTCAACACTCCCCATAGACTAACACTGCCATAGGACTAACACTACCCATAGACTCAACACTCCCCATATACTCAACACTACCCATAGACTCATCACTGCCCATAGACTCAACACTACCCATAGACTCATCACTACCCATAGACTCAACACTGCCCATAGACTCAACACTACCCATAGACTCATCACTGCCCATAGACTCAACACTACCCATAGACTCATCACTACCCATAGACTCATCACTGCCCATAGACTCAACACTACCCATAGACTCAACACTGCCCATAGACTCAACACTAACCATAGACTCAACACTACCCATAGACTCATCACTGCCCATAGACTCAACACTACCCATAGACTCAACACTGCCCATAGACTCAACACTAACCATAGACTTGTAGGGCTGTTACAGAGGGGCTGTTTGTGTAGGGCTGTTTGCATAGGAGCTAACGGATAACAAACACAGTGGGCGGGGACTCCGCCAGTACACGGGGTGGTGCCCGCAACGACGTCCGCACCGGACGGCGTGAGGGGGGTTGTGATCCTCTAGGGGGGTATAAAAAGGGATGAGCCAGAGAGCTCGGGGTTCAGTCTTAGAGTAATTAGGGGAAGACGGAAGACCGACCAGATAGGCCCTGGACTCCCCCTGGGACGCCGCCCTTATCAGGGCAGCGCAGGCTGGAGCCAGTGGCGTGGTCCCGTGAACCAGAGTTAGTACTCTGGGACTCCGGGTACCGTAGCCCGACTGACCAGTGTCGGGCCAGACAGCCTCCCCTAGCCCGTAAGTGGAGGACTCGGGGTAGGAAGGATAGCTAGAGGTGTATCCCCAGTTATACGGGTGAGGGGGCCGATACACCCCTCTAGTACTGTACGACCATTGTGTAAATAAACACGTGTGCCTTACAACGGTGTCCAAGCGTCTTCAAGAGTACTTCAGACTCAACACTACCCATAGACTCAACACTGCCCATAGACTCAACACTACCCATAGACTCATCACTGCCCATAGACTCAACACTACCCATAGACTCAACACTGCCCATAGACTCAACACTAACCATAGACTCAACACTACCCATAGACTCAACACTGCCCATAGACTCAACACTACCCATAGACTCAACACTGCCCATAGGCTCAACACTGCCCATAGACCCAACACTGCCCATAGACTAACACTACCCATAGACTCAACACTGCCCATAGACTCAACACTGCCCATAGACTAACACTACCCATAGACTCATCACTGCCCATAGACTCAACACTACCCATAGATTCAACACTACCCATAGACTAACACTGCCCATAGACTCAACACTACCAATAGACTCATCACTGCCCATAGACTCAACACTACCCATAGACTCATCACTACCCATAGACTCATCACTGCCCATAGACTCAACACTGCCCATAGACTCAACACTGCCCATAGACTCAACACTAACCATAGACTCAACACTACCCATAGACTCAACACTGCCCATAGACTCAACACTACCCATAGACTAACACTACCCATAGACTCAACACTGCCCATAGACTCAACACTACCCATAGATTCAACACTACCCATAGACTAACACTACCCACAGACTCAACACTGCCCATAGATTCAACACTGCCCATAGATTCAACACTACCCATAGACTCAACACTGTCCTCTCTGCCCTGTGAGTGGCCCTCTCTGGGGCGACGGTGAGCGTCTTGCCGGTGACGTTGAGCCACGTGGAGGCCGTGGCACTGTCCACGTCTGTGCGCGCCGTGCAGGCGTAGGGCCCCGAGTCGGCGGGGCTCACCGGCTTCAGCACCAGATCGGACGCGGAGCTCCCCTGCCGCACAAAGACAAAGATCCCCCGTGTAGCCTCTCACGTTGGGGGGCACGCGAGAGGGTGGGTGGTCGGCACCACCACGCCTTGGCTGCCTTCGAATCCTCGGTGCTGATTCTTTAGACAATTCACGACCGCAGTTGCCCCTTTCTGCTGCCCCCTGCCACTGCCACCGCTGCTGCTGCCCACTGCTGCTGCCCACTGCTGCTGCCCCTGCTACTGCCCACTGTTGTGGAGTGGCTCATGCAGCCAGCTATGGCTGCAGCGTTTCGGTAGTACATGTTGTTTATGCCATTGTGAAAATTCCGTCACAGTTCCTATGATCACTGTTTCATTGCTTTCATGGCTTTATTTTGGTGATTTCGAAAAGTGTATTGGTTTGGCCATGTTTGTTTGTTGTAGTACAGAGTTAGACTGATGGCCTTAATATAAGTTGTCTTGTGGTTGTTGTTGTTGTTGTTTGACTTGCATTCCACTGGGATTTGTGCACACAGCGTTAGTGTACGGTGCTTTTTTCTGCAATATTTTGCTGTCTTTTCTTGGATTTTCTGTTTGCACTTAGTCACATATTCACTTTAAGATGTTTTTTGGTTCATGTTTTTTGTTTTTTATTTGTTGCGGTTGCACCCGATTCAAGAGCCGAATGGCTCACAGGGCTATACCTAATATATGAACTTGAACTTGAGGATGCTCACTGCTGCCGCTGCCCACTGCCACTACCTCCTGCAGCTTGCCCACTGCTGCCCCCGCTACCCCTTCCGCTGCCCACAGCTACAGCTCACTTCTGCCCCCCCCCCCCAACGCCGCCGCTCACCACCACCCATGCCCTGTCACGGCTCACCATGCCCCTGCCACAGCTCACCATGCCCTGCCACAGCTCACCATGCCCCTGTCACGGCTCACCATGCCCTGCCACAGCTCACCATGCCCTGTCACGGCTCACCATGCCACAGCTCACCATGCCCTGCCACAGCTCACCATGCCCTGCCACAGCTCACCATGCCCTGCCACAGCTCACCATGCCCTGCCACGGCTCACCATGCCCTGCCACGGCTCACCATGCCCTGTCACGGCTCACCATGCCCTGTCACGGCTCACCATGCCCTGCCACGGCTCACCATGCCACAGCTCACCATGCCCTGCCACAGCTCACCATGCCCTGCCACAGCTCACCATGCCCTGCCACAGCTCACCATGCCCTGCCACGGCTCACCATGCCCTGCCACAGCTCACCATGCCCCTGCCACAGCTCACCATGCCCCTGCCACGGCTCACCATGCCCTGCCACGGCTCACCATGCCCTGCCACGGCTCACCATGCCCTGTCACGGCTCACCATGCCCTGTCACGGCTCACCATGCCCTGCCACGGCTCACCATGCCACAGCTCACCATGCCCTGCCACAGCTCACCATGCCCTGCCACAGCTCACCATGCCCTGCCACGGCTCACCATGCCCTGTCACGGCTCACCATGCCACAGCTCACCATGCCCCTGCCACAGCTCACCATGCCCCTGCCACAGCTCACCATGCCCTGTCACGGCTCACCATGCCCTGCCACGGCTCACCATGCCACAGCTCACCATGCCCTGCCACGGCTCACCATGCCCCTGCCACGGCTCATCATGCCACGGCTCACCATGCCCTGCCACAGCTCACCATGCCCCTGCCACAGCTCACCATGCCCTGTCACGGCTCACCATGCCCTGCCACGGCTCACCATGCCACAGCTCACCATGCCCTGCCACGGCTCACCATGCCACAGCTCACCATGCCCTGCCACAGCTCACCATGCCCTGCCACGGCTCACCATGCCCTGCCACAGCTCACCATGCCCTGCCACAGCTCACCATGCCCGCGTGCGTGAACTGCTCCCTCCTGCCGCTGCCTCCGAGGTGGTGTTCGCCGCGGCTCCACAGGAAGGCGACGCGGAGCGAGGGGTCGTGGGAGGCGCGGCACGACAACACCGCCCGGTGGCCGAACGCCACCAGCCCCCCGCTGGGGGCAGCCGTGATGCGGGTCGCCTCTGCAATGTTTTTTTTTTCAAATTATCATCAATTATATTTTTTTCTGTTATCATCAATGATTTTTATTTTGTATTATCATCAATGATTTTTATTTTGTATTATCATAAATTATATTTACTTTATCTTATCATCAATGGTATTTATTTTATATTATCATAACTTATAATTATTTTATATTATCTTCAATATTTATTTTATATTGTCATCAATGGTATTTATTTAATATGATATAAATTATAATTATTTTATATTATCATCAATATTTATTTAATATTATCATACATTATATTTATTTTATATTATCATAAATTATAATTATTTTATATTATCATCAATATTTATTTTCAAATTATCATCAATTATATTTGTTTTATATTATCATCAATGATTTTTATTTTGTATTATCATCAATTATATTTATTTCATATTATCATCAATGGTATTTATTTTATATTATCATCAATGGTATTTATTTTATATTATCATAACTTATAATTATTTTATATTATCATCAATATTTATTTTATATTGTCATCAATGGTATTTATTTAATATGATATAAATTATAATTATTTTATATTATCATCAATATTTATTTAATATTATCATACATTATATTTATTTTATATTATCATAAATTATAATTATTTTATATTATCATCAATATTTGTTTTCAAATTATCATCAATTATATTTGTTTTATATTATCATCAATTATTTTTATTTTGTATTATCATCAATTATATTTATTTCATATTATCATCAATGGTATTTATTTAATAGTATCATAAATTATAATTATTTTATATTATCATCAATATTTATTTAATATAATCATAATTTGTATTTATTTTATATTATCATCAATGATATTTGCTTTATATTATCATCAATGATTTTTATTTTGCATTATCATCAATGGTATTTATTTTATATTATCATAAATTATATTTACTTTATCTTTTCATCAATGGTATTTATTTTATATTATCATAAATTATATTTATTTTATATCATCATCAATTACTTTTACTTCGGTAAAGTCACGTAGAAGGGAAATAACAAAATAATAAAAATAAAACACAATAAAATACAATTCTCACGACGTTTTGGCCACAACGCAAGCAGCCGTCCTCAGGTGAAGAACAGGGCTGTCGGAACAGGGCTGTCGGAACAGGGCTGTCGGAACAGGTCTGTCGGAACAGCGCTGTCGGAACCGGACTGTAGGAACAGGTCTGTCGGAACAGGGCTTTCGGAACAGGGCTGTCGGAAGAGGGCTGTCGGAACAGGTCTGTCGGAACAGGTCTGTCGGAACAGGTCTGTCGGAACAGGGCTTTCGGAACAGGGCTGTCGGAACAGGGCTGTCGGAACAGGGCTGTCGGAACAGGTCTGTCGGAACAGGGCTGTCGGAACAGGTCGGTCAGAATAGGTCTGTCGGAACAGGTCTGTCGGAACAGGTCTGTCGGAACAGGGCTGTCGGAACAGGGCTATCGGAACAGGGCTGTTGGAACAGGTCTGTCGGAACAGGGCTGTCGGAACAGGTCGGTCGGAATAGGTCTGTCGGAACAGGTCTGTCGGAACAGGTCTGTCGGAACAGGGCTGTCGGAACAGGTCTGTCGGAACAGGGCTGTCGGAACAGGTTTGTCGGAACAGGTCTGTCGGAACAGGTCTGTCGGAACAGGGCTGTCGGAACAGGTCTGTCGGAACAGGGCTGTCGGAACAGGTCTGTCGGAACAGGTCTGTCGGAACAGGGCTATCGGAACAGGGCTGTCGGAACAGGTCTGTCGGAACAGGGCTGTCGGAACAGGTCTGTCGGAACAGGTCTGTCGGAACAGGTCTGTCGGAACAGGTCTGTCGGAACAGGTCTGTCGGAACAGGTCTGTCGGAACAGGTCTGTCGGAACAGGTCTGTCGGAACAGGTCTGTCGGAACAGGGCTGTCAGAACAGGTCTGTCGGAACAGGGCTGTCGGAACAGGTCTGTCGGAACAGGTCTGTCGGAACAGGGCTGTCGGAACAGGTCTGTCGGAACAGGGCTGTCGGAACAGGTCTGTCGAAACAGGTCTGTCAGAACAGGGCTGTTGGAACAGGTCGGTCGGAACAGGTCTGTCGGAACAGGGCTGTCGGAACAGGTCTGTCGGAACAGGTCTGTCGGAACAGGGCTATCGGAACAGGGCTGTCGGAACAGGTCTGTCGGAACAGGGCTATCGGAACAGGGCTGTCGGAACAGGTCTGTCGGAACAGGGCTGTCGGAACAGGTCTGTCGGAACAGGGCTGTCGGAACAGGTCTGTCGGAACAGGTCTGTCGGAACAGGGCTGTCGGAACAGGTCTGTCGGAACAGGTCTGTCGGAACAGGGCTGTCGGAACAGGTCTGTCGGAACAGGTCTGTCGGAACAGGGCTGTGGGGAACAGGTCTGTCGGAACAGGGCTGTCGGAACAGGTCTGTCGGAACAGGTCTGCCGGAACAGGTCTGCCGGAACAGGACTGTTGGAACAGGACTGTCGGAACAGGGCTGTTGGAGTAAGACAGCCCTGTTCAGTCGCGCACCTTTCACGGTGAGTGTCCCAGCGCTCTGCGCCTGTCCCAGCACGTTGTGCGCCGTGCAGGAATAGCTGCCCGCGTCTCCGCTCGCCACGGACGCGAACATCAGGCTCCCGTCCTCGAGCACGCGGAGCCTGCGTACACCACAACAAAAGGGGCCGTCCATAAATGACGTCACGCCCCGAGGGGGGTGGGGTGTCAGACATTTGTGACGATGGGGGGGGGGGGGGTTGAGAAATGTGACGTCGCATCAGAATGCGCAACTTTAAATAAATATAGACAACACGTTCTACTTAATTAAATCGACTTTTTAATAAATGTTTTCTCCTACAACATCAGAGTGCAGCGCCACATTAAATACGCACTACAATGACAATAGTTTGAAGCGATTTGAAGCATGTTTTATTTTCAAAATGGAAATATGGTTTTGGGGGAGGGGGGGGGCAGAGCTTTGTGACGTCATATTTGAGGGGGGGTGTCTGACTTTTTGTGACACCGTGTGACGAGGGGGGTGGGTAAAAATCGTCCAAAATCGCGTGACGTCATTTATGGACGGCCCCAAAGACAAAAGATCCCCCCGTCCGTGTAGCCTTCACAAACTGCAGGGGCAAGTGCTGTTAGCGAGCAGCAGCACCTACAAAGGCCGGCACGGCACACGTGGGGTTGGGTGGCCAGCACCACGCCCGGCCGCCTTTGTCTCCCCAGTGGCGATGTTTACACGTTGCACACCGGGTACCCATTCATAATTGGGTCTTTGGGCTTTTTGGGGGGGTTTCTTTTAGGTTTTTGGGGCGGGTGTTGTATTTTAGTATTTTGGTTTTGTTGATGTGTTTAGCTTGCCTATAATTCGAGAGTGTGGTTGTTCCCACCATTGGAACCTCATTTGCCAGTAAAAAATATGATAATTGTTTTTTTATCAGTGTGGTTGCTGTTGTTGGTCGTTGGAAATTGTCTCACATGGTGGCCCCTTACTCGACATCTTTGTGGCGGAAGGGGGCGGGTATCAAGAGCTTCATAGCTCATCCGGATTTTCTCCAGCATAAACAGATTTCCTCCTCTGACACACCGCACCAGAGTACTCGTTTGAGGCCGAGTCGACCTAGGGGTAGGCCCCGCGGGCACGTCGCTCGCACACACGTGGCGGGTCCACCTGGCGGAGGAGTCGGGGCCGATGGTGCCGTTTGGGCCGCTCCAGGTGACGCGGGGGGCAGGCCACGCGCTGGGGTGGCACGGGATGATGGCCCGGCCTCCGCTGACGGCCACCGTCTCCGCGGGCAACTCGTGGCCCGTGAAGTCCGGCACGGAGCCTGCGGAGAGAAGATCTGGGAGATGAGCCCACGCACGAACGAAGTTTTCTTAAATTTTGATCCCACTACTGAGCTATGTAAAGTATTTTTCAACGTAAGAAGCGGTGACCTGGCCACCGTGGCTTGCCATCATTATCATCATCGCGTGCACTTTTCGAGCAGCAGACAAATACTTTAATAGCGCGACGTCGATTCTAAATGTGCAGGGGAAACCCGGAGGACCCGGAGAAAAATCCAGGCGACCATCACGGGGAGAGAGAGAGAGAGACACGCAAACTCCAAATATACAGCAGCAGGCGTCAGGGTCGGGATCGAACCCACGACATCCTGCACACCAGGCGAGGTAGTTAACATCTCCTAGCCACCGTGATGATGATGATGAGAGAGAGACACGCAAACTCCAAATTTACAGCAGCAGGCGTCAGGGTCGGGATCAAACCCACGACCTCCTGTGTACCAGGCGAGGTAGTTAACATCTCCTAGCCATCGTGATGATGATGATGAGAGAGAGACACGCAAACTCCAAATATACAGCAGCAGCAGGCGTCAGGGTCGGGATCGAACCCACGACCTCCTGTGTACCAGGCGAGGTAGTTAACATCTCCTAGCCACCGTGATGATGATGATGAAAGAGAGACACGCAAACTCCAAATATACAGCAGCAGGCGTCAGGGTCGGAATCGAACCCACGACCTCCTGTGCACCAGGCGAGGTAGTTTAACATCTCCTAGCCACCGTGATGGTGATGATGAGAGAGAGACACGCAAACTCCAAATATACAGCAGCAGACGTCAGGGTCGGGATCAAACCCACGACCTCCTGTGTACCAGGCGAGGTAGTTAACATCTCCTAGCCATCGTGATGATGATGGTGAGAGAGACACACGCAAACTCCAAATATACAGCAGCAGCAGGCGTCAGGGTCGGGATCGAACCCACGACCTCCTGCACACCAGGCGAGGTAGTTATCATCTCCTAGCCACCGTGATGATGATGAGAGAGAAAGAGACACCAGGGACGTGTGGTCAGGGGAGGCACAACCTCATCTGTCATACTCCAATTAAAATAGCTGTTACGAAAAGTACAAAAATAATAAACAAAAAATTTGATTTTCCACTGATCTGTGTTATAAATGTAATTTAAGTACGATTCCAATCATTTTATAGTCAAAATCGCCAAATTCGCGGCGCTTCACTGCAAATACAGGAAGAGACGAGAGGTGAGGCAGCGACGAGCTCAGCCTCCCCTCTGATTGCGCAACCCCTCAGTAACTGGATGGAGCGCGGGCAATAAGCGCGTGCCTGTTACTATCTCAGTGTGTCACCAATGTGATGTTTGTAGACCCCTTCATTCCATGTCCTCGCCTTCCATAGTCCAGCTAACTTATTTCACGTATGTGTATAAAGAGATTGAGGCTCGCTGGTGTCGTCATGAAACTGCAATGAAAAAGCACCAGGGGAGGCAGCTATCACATCTGCCTCACCGAGGGGGACGTGTCTAACACGCCCCCCTCCGTGAGGCCACTCCCCCCTCAGTGAGGCCACGCCCCCCTAAGTGAGGACACGCCCCCCCCCTCAGTGAGGACACGCCCCCTAAGTCAGGACACGCCCCCCTCAGTGAGGACACGCCCCCCCCTTAGCAAGGCCACGCCCCCCTCAGTGAGGACACGCCCCCCCTCAGTGTGTGAATCTGGCTCTGATACCAGCCATTGCCTCCCTAGCCATTGACCTCACCGCATGTCACTGAGGTGGACTAGGTGGGGTCGGGGCCTAGGGGCGGGGTGGGGGCGGGGCCTAGGGGCGGGGTGAGGGGGGGGTGTCACCTGAGACGCGGAGCCGTGCGGCCGAGGTGACGCTGCCGAAGCTGTTGGAGGCCACGCACTGGTACATGGCGGCGTCGGACAGCAGCAGCGGGGACACGAGCAGGTCGCCGGACGCGTGGGACGCGACGCGCACGCGGCCCTGGGGGTCGCAGCGTCAGCAGCATCACCGTCAACATCGTCATCAAGAGGAGCATCATCATCAGCAGCATCAGCAGTAGCAACATCATCAGCAGCAGCAGCATCAGCAGCATCATCAGCAGTAGCAGCATCAGCAGCATCATCAGCAGCAGCATCATCATCAGCAGTAGCTGCAGTAGCAGCAGCAGTAGCAGCATCATCAGCAGTATCACCATCAGCAGTAGCATCAACAGCATCAGCAGCAGCAGCATCATCATCTGCCCGGAGTTCCCCGTTCGGCTCGGAGCGCTGGGTGCTGGAGAAGCGACGCTGGGGACGGAGGACAGAGAATGGGGGCGGGAGGAGGGTGAGGAGGAGGAGGAGGGTGAGGAGGGGAGGGGGGGAGGAGGAGGAGGGGAGGGGGAGGAGGAGGGTGAGGAGGAGGAGGGGGGAGGAGGAGGGTGAGGAGGGGAGGGGGGAGGAGGAGGAGGAGGGGAGGGGGAGGAGGAGGGTGAGGAGGAGGAGGGGGGAGGAGGAGGGTGAGGAGGGGAGGGGGGAGGAGGAGGAGGCGGGAGGGGGGAGGAGGGTGATGAGGAGGAGGGTGAGGAGGGGGAGGGGAGGGGGGAGGAGGTTGAGGAGGGGAGGAGGGTGAGGAGGAGGAGGGGGGAGGAGGAGGGTGAGGAGGGGAGGGGGGAGGAGGAGGAGGAGGCGGGAGGGGGGAGGAGGGTGAGGAGGAGGAGGAGGGGAGGGGGAGGAGGAGGGTGAGGAGAAAGGGGGGAGGAGGAGGGTGAGGAGGAGGAGGAGGGGAGGGGGGAGGAGGAGGGTGAGGAGGGGAGGAGGAGGTGGGAGGGGGGAGGAGGGTGAGGAGGAGGGGAGGGGGAGGAGGAGGGTGAGGAGAAAGGGGGGAGGAGGAGGGTGAGGAGGGGAGGGGGGAGGAGGAGGCGGGAGGGGGGAGGAGGGTGAGGAGGGGAGGAGGGTGAGGAGGAGGAGGGGGGAGGAGGAGGGTGAGGAGGGGAGGGGGGAGGAGGAGGAGGAGGCGGGAGGGGGGAGGAGGGTGAGGAGGAGGAGGAGGGGAGGGGGAGGAGGAGGGTGAGGAGAAAGGGGGGAGGAGGAGGGTGAGGAGGAGGAGGAGGGGAGGGGGAGGAGGAGGGTGAGGAGGGGAGGAGGAGGTGGGAGGGGGGAGGAGGGTGAGGAGGAGGGGAGGGGGAGGAGGAGGGTGAGGAGAAAGGGGGGAGGAGGAGGGTGAGGAGGGGAGGGGGGAGGAGGAGGCGGGAGGGGGGAGGAGGGTGAGGAGGAGGAGGAGGGGAGGGGGAGGAGGGGGAGGGGAGGGGGGAGGAGGTTGAGGAGGGGAGGAGGGTGAGGAGGAGGAGGGGGGAGGAGGAGGGTGAGGAGGGGAGGGGGGAGGAGGAGGAGGAGGCGGGAGGGGGGAGGAGGGTGAGGAGGAGGAGGAGGGGAGGGGGAGGAGGAGGGTGAGGAGAAAGGGGGGAGGAGGAGGGTGAGGAGGAGGAGGAGGGGAGGGGGAGGAGGAGGGTGAGGAGGGGAGGAGGAGGTGGGAGGGGGGAGGAGGGTGAGGAGGAGGGGAGGGGGAGGAGGAGGGTGAGGAGAAAGGGGGGAGGAGGAGGGTGAGGAGGGGAGGGGGGAGGAGGAGGCGGGAGGGGGGAGGAGGGTGAGGAGGGGAGGAGGGTGAGGAGGAGGAGGGGGGAGGAGGAGGGTGAGGAGGGGAGGGGGGAGGAGGAGGAGGAGGCGGGAGGGGGGAGGAGGGTGAGGAGGAGGAGGAGGGGAGGGGGAGGAGGAGGGTGAGGAGAAAGGGGGGGAGGAGGAGGGTGAGGAGGAGGAGGAGGGGAGGGGGAGGAGGAGGGTGAGGAGGGGAGGAGGAGGTGGGAGGGGGGAGGAGGGTGAGGAGGAGGGGAGGGGGAGGAGGAGGGTGAGGAGAAAGGGGGGAGGAGGAGGGTGAGGAGGGGAGGGGGGAGGAGGAGGCGGGAGGGGGGAGGAGGGTGAGGAGGAGGAGGAGGGGAGGGGGAGGAGGAGGGTGAGGAGGAAGGGGGGAGGAGGAGGGTGAGGAGGAGGAGGAAGGGGGGAGGAGGAGGGTGAGGAGGGGAGGGGGGAGGAGGAGGAGGCGGGATGGGGGAGGAGGGTGAGGAGGAGGAGGAGGAGGGGAGGGGGAGGAGGAGGGTGAGGAGGGGAGGGGGAGGAGGGTGAGGAGGGGAGGGGGGAGAGGAGGAGGAGGCGGGAGGGGGGAGGAGGGTGAGGAGGAGGAGGAGGGGAGGGGGAGGAGGAGGGTGAGGAGGAAGGGGGGAGGAGGAGGGTGAGGAGGAGGAGGGGAGGGGGAGGAGGAGGGTGAGGAGGAGGAGGGGAGGGTGAGGAGGAGGAGGGGAGGGGGAGGAGGGGAGGGGGAGGAGGAGGGTGAGGAGGAAAGGGGGAGGAGGAGGGTGAGGAGGGGAGGGGGGAGGAGGAGGAGGCGGGAGGGGGGAGGAGGGTGAGGAGGAGGAGGGTGAGGAGGAGGATGAGGAGGAGGAGGAGGGGAGGGGGAAGAGGGTGAGGAGGGGAGGGGGGAGGAGGAGGAGGAGGAGGCGGGAGGGGGGAGGAGGGTGAGGAGGAAGGGGGGAGGAGGAGGGTGAGGAGGGGAGGGGGAGGAGGGTGAGGAGGAAGGGGGGAGGAGGAGGAGGAGGAGGAGGAGGAGGAGGAGGAAGGGGGGAGGAGGAGGGTGAGGAGGGGAGGGGGAGGAGGGTGAGGAGGGGAGGGGGGAGGAGGCGGAGGAGGAGGAGGAGGGGAGGGGGGAGGAGAAGGGTGAGGAGGGGAGGGAGGAGGGGAGGGGGGTGAGCAGGGTAACGAGGAGGAGGAAGGGGGAAGAGAGGAGGGTGAGGAGGGGAGGGGGGGAGGAGGAGGGGGAGGAAGGGGGTGGGTTATGAGGAGGAGGGAGAGAGAGAGGAGGGCTCCAGGCTGTAAGTGCTGGGGTGGGGGAGAGCTGGAGGGGCTGGAGGCTGACTCACTTGCACGCTGCTGCTGCTACTGCTGCTGCTGGTGCTGCTACTGCTGCTGCTGCTACTACTGATGCTGCTGGTGCTGCTGCTGCTACTGATGCTGCTGCTGGTGGTGGTGCTGGTGGCGAGGGGGGAGCCGTCCTTGAGCCAGGCGTAGGATGGAGCCGGGGAGCCGCTGGCTCGACACGGCCAGCGCAGCGCCTCGTGCACTCCGCGCTCCGCGTCGCGCAACGGCAGCAGCCAGCGCGGGGCAGCTGCACACAGAGACACCGTCCCATATAGAGCCACCGTCCCATATAGAACCACCGTCCCATATAGAACCACCGTCCCATATAGAGCCACCGTCCCATATAGAGCCACCGTCCCATAAAGAACCACCATCCCATATAGAACCACCGTCCCATGTAGAGCCACCGTCCCATATAGAGCCACCGTCCCATATAGAACCACCGTCCCATATAGAGCCACCGTCCCATATAGAACCACCGTCCCATATAGAACCACCGTCCCATATAGAGCCACCGTCCCATATAGAACCCTCATCCCATATAGAACCACCGTCGCATATAGAGCCACCGTCCCATATAGAACCCTCGTCCCATATAGAACCACCGTCCCATATAGAACCACCGTCCCATATAGAGCCACCGTCCCATATAGAGCCACCGTCCCATATAGAGCCACCGTCCCATATAGAGCCACCGTCCCATATAGAGCCACCGTCCCATATAGAGCTACCGTCCCATATAGAACCACCGTCCCATATAGAACCACCGTCCCATGTAGAGCCACCGTCCCATATAGAGCCACCGTCCCATATAGAACCACCGTCCCATATAGAGCCACCGTCCCATATAGAACCACCGTCCCATATAGAACCACCGTCCCATATAGAACCACCATCCCATATAGAACCACCGTCCCATGTAGAGCCACCGTCCCATATAGAGCCACCGTCCCATATAGAACCACCGTCCCATATAGAGCCACCGTCCCATATAGAACCACCATCCCATATAGAACCACCGTCCCATATAGAACCACCGTCCCATATAGAGCCACCGTCCCATATAGAACCCTCATCCCATATAGAACCACCGTCGCATATAGAGCCACCGTCCCATATAGAGCCACCGTCCCATATAGAACCCTCATCCCATATAGAACCACCGTCGCATATAGAGCCACCGTCCCATATAGAACCCTCGTCCCATATAGAACCACCGTCCCATATAGAACCCTCGTCCCATATAGAACCCTCGTCTCATCCCATATAGAACCCTCGTCCCATATAGAACCACCGTCCCATATAGAACCACCGTCCCATATAGAACCTTCATCCCATACAGAACCCTCATCCCATACAGAACCCCATCCCATACAGAACCCTCGTCCCATACAGAACCTTCATCCCATACAGAACCACTGTCTCATCCCCTACAGAACCCTCATCCCATACAGAACCCTCATCCCCTACAGAAGCCACGTGTTCCCTCTGCTGTTTCTCGTTGTAATCGTCTTCAGGGTCTCCCCACCACCGGCTGAAGATCTCTCCTCCTGGCTGTGACTTCTCAAGCGCGTCTCACCCCCCCCCCCCCCTCTCTCACCGCTGCCTCCTCAAGTCACCGACCATACCCCGTGGAGCCGAAACGTCGGACACGGCAGCGCGTCACGGTGGTCACAGGCCCAGAGAGACAGCCGGCCTCGATTTCACCCCCCCCCCCCCCCCCACTTGCTACCCCCCCCCACAATTTATTCCTCTTCCGACGGACCCTACACGCAAGACGCAGTGCACTCTCACACTCCATTAGCTTCATTAATTCACCATATTTAGAGATGGAGAGAGAGAGATAGATAAATGCAAATCTCAGACTGCGCTCATTTTTTTACCCACACACACTCCAACCCCTCCCCCCCACCCCCCTCTCTCTCCATCCCTTCCTTCCACAACGAACCGGGCGCAATTGCCCGTGGCAAAATGCTCGGGCGATCGAGGGCTTTAATTAGTGGCAATTAAATCCGCGGCGTTACTTAACGAGCAGATGCGTGGCTCGAGCCGTATCGCGTCCGTACCGTTTAATGGATGGTGGAGGGGGGGGGCCAGGGGGGGGGGGGCGGGGATGGGGGGTGGGGATGGGAGGCGGTGGGGTGCGCGGCTGGACGGGGGTGGAAATGAAATTAATTTTCTCGCCGCTCGCTGAAGGGGCACGCGCGCGTGGCCGGGCCGCGGAGTGCGACGGGCGCGTCGCTGAGAATTCGCGTTGGGAAAAGCGTCGCGCGATGGCCGTGGAGTGGGCCCTGAGGTGGGCCTCTAGCTGGGTTCACGATGGCCCTGAGGAGGCCACTAGCCGGGTTCACGATGGCCCTGAGGAGGCCTCTAGCCGGGCTCACGATGGCCCTGAGGAGGCCACTAGCCGGGTTCACGATGGCCCTGCTGGGCCTCTAGCCGGGCTCACGATGGCCCTGAGGAGGCCTCTAGCCGGGTTCACGATGGCCCTGCTGGGCCTCTAGCCGGGCTCACGATGGCCCTGGTGGACCTCTAGCCGGGTTCACGATGGCCCTGGTGGGGCCTCTAGCTGGGTTCACGATGGCCCTGGTGGGTCTCTAGCCGGGTTCACGATGGCCCTGGTGGGTCTCTAGCTGGGTTCACGATGGTCCTGGTGGGCCTCTAGCCGGGTTCACGATGGCCCTGGTGGGCCTCTAGCCGGGTTCACGATGGCCCTGGTGGGTCTCTAGCTGGGTTCACGATGGCCCTGGTTGGCCTCTAGCTGGGTTCACGATGGCCCTGGTGGGTCTCTAGCCGGGTTCACGATGGCCCTGGTGGGTCTCTAGCTGGGTTCACGATGGTCCTGGTGGGCCTCTAGCCGGGTTCACGATGGCCCTGGTGGGCCTCTAGCCGGGTTCACGATGGCCCTGGTGGGTCTCTAGCCGGGTTCACGATGGCCCTGGTGGGCCTCTAGCTGGGTTCACGATGGCCCTGGTGGGTCTCTAGCTGGGTTCACGATGGCCCTGGTGGGCCTCTAGCTGGGTTCACGATGGCCCTGGTGGGTCTCTAGCTGGGTTCACGATGGCCCTGGTGGGCCTCTAGCCGGGTTCACGATGCCCCTGGTGGGCCTCTATCTGGGTTAACGATGGCGCTGGGGAGGCCTCTAGCCGGGTTCACGATGGCCCTGATGGGCCTCTAGCTGGGCTCACGATGGCCCTGGTGGGCCTCTAGCCGGGTTCACGATGGCCCTGGTGGGTCTCTAGCCGGGTTCACGATGGCCCTGATGGGCCTCTAGCTGGGTTCACGATGGCCCTGATGGGCCTCTAGCCGGGTTCACGATGGCCCTGATGGGCCTCTAGCCGGGTTCACGATGGCCCTGGTGGGTCTCTAGCTGGGTTCACAATGGCCCTGGTGGGCCTCTAGCCGGGTTCACAATGGCCCTGGTGGGGCCTCTAGCTGGGTTCACGATGGCCCTGGTGGGTCTCTAGCTGGGTTCACGATGGCCCTGGTGGGTCTCTAGCTGGGTTCACGATGGCCCTGATGGGCCTCTAGCCGGGTTCACGATGGCCCTGGTGGGCCTCTAGCCGGGTTCACGATGGCCCTGGTGGGTCTCTAGCCGGGTTCACGATGGCCCTGATGGGCCTCTAGCCGGGTTAACGATGGCCCTGATGGGCCTCTAGCCGGGTTCACGATGGCCCTGATGGGCCTCTAGCTGGGTTCACGATGGCCCTTGTGGGTCTCTAGCTGGGTTCACGATGGCCCTGGTGGGTCTCTAGCCGGGTTCACGATGGCCCTGGTGGGCCTCTAGCCGGGTTCACAATGGCCCTGGTGGGGCCTCTAGCTGGGTTCACGATGGCCCTGGTGGGCCTCTAGCCGGGTTCACGATGGCCCTGGTGGGTCTCTAGCCGGGTTCACGATGGCCCTGGTGGGCCTCTAGCCGGGTTCACAATGGCCCTGGTGGGCCTCTAGCCGGGTTCACGATGGCCCTGGTGGGCCTCTAGCCGGGTTCACAATGGCCCTGGTGGGGCTCTAGCTGGGTTCACGATGGCCCTGGTGGGCCTCTAGCTGGGTTCACGATGGCCCTGGTGGGCCTCTAGCTGGGTTCACGATGGCCTGGTGGGCCTCTAGCCGGGTTCACAATGGCCCTGATGGGCCTCTAGCTGGGTTCACGATGGCCCTGGTGGGGCCTCTAGCTGGGTTCACGATGGCCCTGGTGGGCCTCTAGGCGGGTTCACGATGGCCCTGGTGGGGCTCTAGCTGGGTTCACGATGGCCCTGGTGGGCCTCTAGCTGGGTTCACGATGGCCCTGGTGGGCCTCTAGCCGGGTTCACGATGGCCCTGGTGGGGCCTCTAGCTGGGTTCACGATGGCCCTGGTGGGGCCTCTAGCTGGGTTCACGATGGCCCTGGTGGGCCTCTAGCCGGGTTCACGATGGCCCTGGTAGGCCTCTAGCCGGGTTCACGATGGCCCTGGTGGGTCTCTAGCTGGGTTCACGATGGCCCTGGTGGGCCTCTAGCTGGGTTCACGATGGCCCTGGTGGGTCTCTAGCCGGGTTCACGATGGCCCTGGTGGGTCTCTAGCTGGGTTCACGATGGCCCTGGTGGGCCTCTAGCCGGGTTCACGATGGCCCTGGTGGGTCTCTAGCCGGGTTCACGATGGCCCTGGTAGGCCTCTAGCCGGGTTCACGATGGCCCTGGTGGGCCTCTAGCTGGGCTCACGATGGCCCTGGTGGGTCTCTAGCAGGGTTCATGATGGCCCTGGTGGGCCTCTAGCTGGGTTCATGATGGCCCTGGTGGGCCTCTAGCTGGGTTCACGATGGCCCTGGTGGGGCCTCTAGCTGGGTTCACGATGGCCCTGGTGGGCCTCTAGTTGGGTTCACGATGGTCCTGGTGGGCCTCTAGCCAGGTTCACGATGGCCCTGGTGGGCCTCTAGCTGGGTTCATGATGGTCCTGGTGGGCCTCTAGCCGGGTTCACGATGGCCCTGGTGGGGCCTCTAGCTGGGTTCACGATGGCCCTGGTGGGGCCTCTAGCTGGGTTCACGATGGCCCTGGTGGGCCTCTAGCTGGGTTCATGATGGCCCTGGTGGGCCTCTAGCTGGGTTCACGATGGCCCTGGTGGGGCCTCTAGCTGGGTTCACGATGGCCCTGGTGGGGCCTCTAGCTGGGTTCACGATGGCCCTGGTGGGCCTCTAGCTGGGTTCACGATGGTCCTGGTGGGCCTCTAGCCGGGTTCACGATGGCCCTGGTGGGCCTCTAGCTGGGTTCATGA